TATATATATATATATATATATATATATATATATATATATATATATGAGCCGATGGTCTATGCAATTAGTTTTTTTGCTCGGGCCCTCAATTTATCACGTGTCTAATTACTCAACGTCGATGACGTCATAAGGCTGATTGTAATTAGAACAGTTTTAATTGTATCCTGTAGTCCCCAGATAATCTCAGCACTGATATGTCCGGTCACACCTCTGGTTATCTTTGGCTCTCGATGGGGGCGTTTATATACAAGCTTCTAATCTCTGCTGTTTGATTACATTTCTAATTAGTACTGTTTGATTACATTTCTAATTAGTACTGTTTGATTCTATTTCTTAATTTCCTTTTACTTCTTCATTAACTGTATTGAAGGGAAAATCCCCCAACACAATAAAATAAGAACAAATTGAAAGGCAGCAGATATTTTAAATTTATTTTGGAGTTATCTCTCTTTAACGTGTTACATTCTCCAGCTAACGAGCCTCGTCTGTCCTGTACTCGAACTCGGGACTTTTGAAATGAGCAATCGTATGATCTCTCGACTGACAGAACAACCGTAGCTTTTAAAGGGTTTAAATTTTGTCTATTAACTTTGGATTTAGACATTTTTCTATCCACTGCAACAACCACAATACTCCTATGACTATAAACGGTTCAATCATTAGTAGATGTCATTACTAGCGCTTGAGATTTTGACATTTGTGTTTTTTCCTTCTTAAATGTCGTTTAAAAATTGCTGTCTTTGGAACTTTTTATATAGAGATGCTAGGCTAGGAACTATTTTTTAAAATTAGCATTTCATCTGCAACCCGCTGATTAATTATCAATTAAAATGGTAACTCTAGGATGCACTTTTAAAAAAAAAAAAAGTTTAAAAATATTATACTATCGACCAGACAAATACTAAGAACAAACACAATTTTACAGGTGTATGAAACAAAGCTCAATACATTAAAATTTTAATAAACATCGTCAGTAGGAATCAACAATGGTCAAAAGAAATTTCCTAGAGTGTAGTAATCAACCACACCCGTTTCGCCATTGTAGCGTATGACAATGCTAACATTTAAAACTTGGATCTTAACAAGTCAACTATTTAGCTTAACATCAGCTTTATTAAAGGAAAAAAAAACAACTCCACCTTAACAATGCTCATTTGTCTAGCACCGCTGGTGTCACCCATCACGTCATGTTTCAAGCGGCAAAAGCGCGCTGCGCTATTCACACGGCTCACACAAATTACCCTTGTCTTCCCCTCCCCCGCGCTGTCAGACATCGCGCCCCAGGTAACGCTGGGGCCGTCGCGTGAAGGGCTCTTGTTTCTGCTGAGTCGCTCTGACAGCAGCGGAGATGCCAGCACTTGTGTCTACAGACACGTCAGTTTTTTTACATCATCATGATAAGCTTTAGGGATGGGGGTGGGGGGCTAACCCTAACATCTACACCGGATAACTCACTGAAAACATTCTACTAATTTAACGAGGACGATACGGGTTTAAGTCTCGTAGTTTTAGGTTCAGCTAGAACCCAAACAGCATAGTTCTAACCGTAATCTATTGTTAATTGGGTAAATGTAATAACCCGTTTCTTTATGAGTATGACTAAAATTTAGTGTTTTTCAAAGCTGTTGAACTACGGATGGCTGAATCCAGAGTTTCTTCTAGGCATATCTTCGGGGGGGGGGGGGGGGGGGGGGAGCGAAATGAAATTTATATAATTTATATAGAAAAAATATACTTTTAACAGTGCCCCCCCCCCCCCCCCCCGGAGAAAAAAGTCTGGAAGAAACACTGGCTGAATCCACGGAAGTATCTTAGCCTCTGAGCTTATTGATGGTTGGAGTAATAGAAGACGAGCTTGGAACTGTTTCCATACCAACATTTCTGCTGGGGTCATAGGTTATGACTGACGCAAATAATGCCAAGCTACCATACGTACTGGTGTAGTATACTGACCTATAGTCTCACCAATACTGATGTAGTCTCACCAATAAACTATTGATGTACTGTCTCGCCAATACTGACCTATAGTCTCACCAATATTGACGTACTGTCTCACCAATAAACTACTAATGTAGTCTCACCAATAAACTACTGATGTACTGTCTCACCGATAAACTATTGATGTAGTCTCACCAATAAACTACTGATGTACTGTCTCACAAATTAAACTACTGATGTAGTCTCACCAATAAACTACTGATGTAGTCTCACCAATAAACTACTGATGTAGTCTCACCAATAAACTACTGATGTACAGTCTCACCAATAAACTACTGATGTAAAGTCTCACCAATAAACTACTGATGTAGTCTTATAGTCTCACCAAAAAAACTACTGATGTACAACAAAACACTACATTCTCACAAAAAATACCATCCCACCATCCACCAAGGGCCAACCATCCACCTATGACCCGCCATCTGTGTTGGTCCTACCACCTCATTAACAACGACTTCCGCCATGTAGTTATTCTTTCTTTTCTACTCGAGAGTCGCCTCCCTGCAATCTTGTCAAGTCAAAAGGTCACAGTGCTCTAAAGATGAAAGAGGACACACACCAAAAAAAAAAGATGTCCCATCATTAGTGTCATGCTTAGTGTATAACCCGATTCCCTCCCCTTCTCACAAATAACGCCCCCACCCCCAAATTACCTGCCTATTTACCAAACACCTTATTATTTCTCGCATTGTCAGTAAAAAAAATGAGAGAAAAAAAAAAGAAAAAAAAAAAACACCAATGACGTCATGCGGCTGTGGCCTAAGAAAACACATTTTGATTGGTTAAACGACGTTTTGATAACGCTCTGCCGAACATGTTTTTGTTAATTTCAAATTGGTCGTTTGAAACTACATTTTAAGACCTCGCGATTTTTGCGGCAGGTGAAGTAGAGCTCATCGCTTCTGTGACCTTGGTATATAAAGAAATAGTGTTATAGATGAAGTAGAGTTCATCTGCTTCTGTGAGCTTGGCATATAAAAAAAAGTTTATTTTATTTAAACAAGTTATAACAAGCTTCTGAATGCTTGGAAAATAGGAGAGTGGCAGAGGTTTTTTTTTTTAGTTATAGGAGTAAATGTTGGGTCTCTATTGTGTAAGCAAGTTTGCTAAAGTAACTAATACATTAACTTTTATATAGCTTGGGTATGCTTTACACTCTATCGACCTTAAGTCTCAGAATTACGTTTATATTTGTTAAAGAAAAATGTGATTAATTTGTTACAGATAATGTGATTTATTTATTTTTGAATGTGACTGATGTGTTTTTAAAATGTGATTAATTTGTTAAGGAAAATGTAATTTATTTGTATGAAAATGTGATTAATTTGTTAAGGAAAATGTGATTAATTTGATTGTAAAACACTGAACCAGTCTCAATATACTAGCATGACATTAAATTAAGGTTAACAGAAACTCACTCCTCATGTAGCGAGAACCTCAATTAGATTGTTGTCGAACTTCACAAGTAAAAAATGTAAAATTATTATCATGGGATCTACCGTTTCGGGGTAGGGGGTGGGGGGGGGGGGGGGGCTAGATATATATTCAAATATGTATGTAAGGGAGGGGGTAGATATGAGTCTACAGCTAGATAAATATATACGTTGAAGGCCAATCCTCTATGTTTCTCTTAAGAGCAACACAATGTTATATAAATTAAATATACTAAAACATACTTTTTATATCAAATATATAAAAAAATTGCAATATACGTGACAGGCCAACCCTTCTTCACAACCCCCCCCCCCCCCTCCCTTTAGCATTTCAATGTTGACGGGCAGAAAATTCGATCAATTGGAAAAAAAATATTGACAGTCAAAAAAAAAAATTTGATCAACAGTAAAAACGTTAAAATCCAAAAAAAAAAAAAAAGAAAAAAAAAAAAAAAAAAAAAAAAAAAAAATTGACCAACAATAAAAATGTTGACGGGCACATAAAAATAGGTTCAATAGTAAAAAAATATTGACGGGCAAAAATGTATGATCAATACTAGATTTTCATAATTGAAGACGAAATATTTCGCTTTCTTAAGTCGGTCAAAGATTAGCGTGACTTTATGGATTATGTAACGGATTAGCTAAGGGATTATTTTCGGGGTTATTGTATTGGTTTGTGTGGCAATCTGGATTAGTATTAGCTGAGTGGTTTTTCAAGGTGTGTCATTATCCAGATGATGATTATATTAACTAAATGTTGGAGTTTATAGATACTGTATGTTTTGTTATAGTGTTTGTTATGTTATTTAGTCATGATCAATTTGGTAGTGAGTCAGAGAGCAAGGCTAGAGACCAAATTGTGCGGGTTCGAGTCTAGTTGTGTATTTCTGCATTGAAGAATCTGAACTTTATCAAAGACTCTGGTCATTGGGTAGTGACGCATCCCATGCACACATAAAAAATAAATTAATTTAAAAAATCAGATGCTGAAATAACAAAAGAAATCGATTTAAATAAGAATTGACATTGTGTTTATCTAGAGCCTTATGACTGCTCCCACTGCCAAAAGACCCCAGGCCGACTTTGAAAAACCTACGATTTATTTTGACACAACTTCACCCTACCATACCTGGGGCTAGCCGTGATATCAAAGGGACCGCCAGTGGCCCGCAGGCCGACGTGAATAAAAGCCCACGGTTTATCCTTACTGACACAAACCTTCACCTTTACAGACTTGTGGGGCTAGCCGCGGTATCACAGAGACCGCGAACCTACCGGGTCTTTCACGGCTAGCACGCACGTAGAGATATGCGGACGTGTTTCCCACCCCCCTCTCAATATTTAGTCCAACCCACTGTGGAAACTGTCATAGCTAGGCCTAAGCGTGTTTTTTTTTTCTTTCCACTTTATTTTTTTTAAAAACTTTTCACAGTCTGAAAAAGCGCAGCCGAACAGCGCCGGCGGCGTGGTTTGCGGTTTTACAAGCGCTGCGCAACAGCCGCGCGCAGCTCGCGACGACCCCGTGAACCCCGAGGCGAGTGGACTTAGCCGGTCAACAAAGGGAGAGAAAACTGCACTAATTGTTCGGCGCGGCGATGTTTAGTGCTTAAGGTTGGATAACTCTTCTCGAATTTATTTGTGTATTCGTTATTGGACTGGAGTTGTGTGACGGGTTACCTCGCTTGGAAACATTCCTCATTTCTGACAAAAGGTAAAATAAACATATATTTATTATATAAACATTTAATTGAATGAGACTGAGAGAAAGACGATATAATTAAACTATGAAACTTGTAGCAAATGTTGGAAAAATGTGTTAGATATCTGTATCTGCATAGATTGTATACACGAGCGAGAAGAGTGATTGTTGGAGATACTGATTGATCTTGATTGTAGACATTTAAACGTTTCTATAGAATTCGTATCGCATTACTCGGTGTGTATACTTAACATTGTATCTTGCTATTTATTTTATGAGTGTTCAAAAATTCCCAGCTAACAACAGACACACAAACACACCTTCGTGCGAGCTGTATTTTTAGACCATTTTATTTTTTAGATTCTTCGAGCGTTGTGAGCGTAATGGCTGCAGACTAAACATCTAACATTAGTTATCTTTGAGAGAACTTTTCCGTTTCGAGGGTACCGGCGAATAAGCAGATTTGTTTCGTTGATTTCAAAACCAATACAAAAACATAATTAACTTGTCATGAGCACGTGCAATTTGTTGTCTTGGAAGCACGTGATGCGTTGCCAAGGACGCACATAATTCGTTGCCAAGGATGCGCATACTTTGTTTTCAAGGGCACATGTGTTTTTAAGCATGCACATATTACAACAACACATATCAGATAACACACACATTACGTGGGGGTGTCTGTTATGCTTAGTGGGCTATTTAATTGTTGTAACTAGCCATAACACAAATTACAACAGACTCCATTGTTCCTTTATCACAATAAAAATATAATCTTTTTAAATACAACAGAGAAACAGTGAACATTCACGAAAACACTGACTACATGCTACCCTAAGTTGACGATACCACACACTGCTTACACACTAGAGTTCACACACTTGTCAGGGGAGGCGACTCTCACACCCAATTTCTCCGTGCCTACACGCTTTCGCTATGAACGTCTAGGCCACGTCACACCTCCCCCCTAAAAAAAAGAGGTTTCTTATTTTTCCTTAAATTAAACAGCATTTCTAAGGTCTATCCTACACAACTACTTAACATGTACAGTAAAAATTTTAACAAAATATTTATCTGACCTTTTACATGCTTTAAATCTCCCTATAAATAAATGATGGCGAGTAAAAAATTATATCTCTACAATAAAATGTTGGACGTAGGCATGAATTAACTACTTATAGCTTTATACGTCTAGTCTATAAGTCAACAAGGTCTTTAAAAAACATTTGTCATCAATAAAGCATTTGAATTGAATCACAAGACATCAGAACAATGTTACTTTCTTTTCGTTTTGTGAAGTGAGATATATTTAAATAAATCTAGTCAATGATGACAATGAAAACTAGAAGCTATTCATATAATACAAGTTCGTACACCACTCTAATTTTGGTACAGTCTTTGGCTCTGGATGTCGATCTGGATCTCGCTCTGGCTTTGGCTCTGGCTCTCGCTCTGGCTCTGGGTTTTGGCTCTGGCTTTGGCTCTGGCTCTGGTTTTGGCTCTGGTTTTGGCACCGGCTCTGGCTTTGGCTCTGGCTCTGGCTCTGGTTTCGGCTCTGGCTCTGGTTTTGGCTCTGGCTCTGATTGTGGCTCTGGCTCTGGTTTTGGCTCTGGCTCTGGTTTTGGCTCTGGCACGGGCTCTGGCACGGGCTCTGGCACGGGCTCTGGCACGGGCTCTGGCACGGGCTCTGGCTCTGACTTTGGCTCTGGCACTGGCTCTGGCACTGGCTCTGGCACGGGCTCTGGCTCTGGCTCTGGTTTTGGCTCTGGCTCTGGTTTTGGCTCTGGTTTTGGCTCTGGCACGGGCTCTGGCACGGGCTCTGGCACGGGCTCTGGCTCTGGCTCTGGCTCTGACTTTGGCTCTGGCACTGGCTCTGGCACTGGCTCTGGCACTGGCTCTGGCACTGGCTCTGGCACTGACGTTGGCTCTGGCACTGGCTCTGGCTCTGGCACGGGCTCTGGCACGGGCTCTGGCACGGGCTCTGGCACGGGCTCTGGCACGGGCTCTGGCTCTGGCACTGGCTCTGGCACTGGCTCTGGCTCTGGCACGGGCTCTGGCACGGGCTCTGGCACGGGCTCTGGCACGGGCTCTGGCTCTGGCACTGGCTCTGGCACGGGCTCTGGCTCTGGCACGGGCTCTGGCACGGGCTCTGGCACGGGCTCTGGCACGGGCTCTGGCTCTGGCACGGGCTCTGGCACGGGCTCTGGCACGGGCTCTGGCACGGGCTCTGGCACGGGCTCTGGCTCTGACTTTGGCTCTGGCACTGGCTCTGGCACTGGCTCTGGCACTGGCTCTGGCACGGGCTCTGGCACGGGCTCTGGCACGGGCTCTGGCTCTGACTTTGGCTCTGGCACTGGCTCTGGCACTGGCTCTGGCACTGGCTCTGGCTCTGACGTTGGCTCTGGCTCTTCTGCTCAGCTCTGGTGTCCAAACATTTTTGTTTCGATCCTGCTATCTTGACATCACAGTCTTTAACTATAATTAAAGTCTCATTAGTATCTTTAAAAAGACTATGAACTTGATACTGGATTAAAGTTACCTTCTGCTCAGCTGCCCTTGACCTAGTTCTCCACTCTGTTGACTTGTTGCCTAGATTGCGTCTCTGGTTGATTAGGTCTTCTGCAAGTGGGACAGTAGCTAGAGCTTTCATGTTGGTGGCGACGCAATGATTTGCTTCTGATGTGATCAAGGACTGATGCTAATATTGTAGCTCTAAAATTTGATAACTTACTTGCTATGCTAATGTAGTCCACTTTGTAGCTAGCAAGTTCTCTCAACTTCTCTCCTAGCTTTATCACTGTATTTTTAATGTCATTATTTATGGCCATGATGTCTGCAGCACTGTTCACAAGTTTTGTGGCTGTTGATACGAAGTCTTTTCACGTCGGCGATGACTGCTGCCGTTAATACTAGATGTTTTCTAGTCGGCTGTAACGATGCCGTTGATACGAGATAGTTTCTAGTCGGCTGTAACGCTGCCGTTAATACTAGATAGTTTCTAGTCGGCTGTAACGATGCCGTTAATACTAGAAATTTTCCCGTCGGTTGTGACACTGCCGTTGATACTAGAAATTTTCCAGTCGGTTGTGACGCTGCCGTTGATACTAGACACTTCCCAGTCGGCTGTAACGATGCCGTTAATACTAGATGTTTTCTAGTCGGCTGTAACGATGCCGTTAATACTAGCAAGTTTCTAGTCGGTTGTGACGCTGCTGTTGATACTAGACATTTTCAAGTCGGTTGTGACGCTGCCGTTGATACTAGACACTTTCCAGTCGGCTGTAACGATGCCGTTAATACTAGATGTTTTCTAGTCGGCTGTAACGCTGCCGTTAATACTAGAAAGTTTCTAGTCGGTTGTGACGCTGCTGTTGACACTCGATATTTTCATGTCGGCTCTAACGCTGCTGTTGATACTGGATATTTTCCTTTTTGTCTAGGGGTAAAAACTTCTCAAAAATCTTGTTGTGTTCAAATCCCGGACGGGCCCCCACTTGTTATGCTTAGTGGGCTATTTAATTGTTGTAACTTGCCATAACACAAATTACAACAGACTCCATTGTTCCTTTATCACAATAAAAATATAATCTTTTTAAATACAACAGAGAAACAGTGAACATTCACGAAAACACTGACTACATGCTACCCTAAGTTGACGATACCACACACTGCTTACACACTAGAGTTCACACACTTGTCAGGGGAGGCGACTCTCACACCCAATTTCTCCGTGCCTACACGCTTTCGCTATGAACGTCTAGGCCACGTCACAGTGTCACACGTATCACATATCCTGTCTAATGATATATGCGTCTTGTGCCACATGCCTAGGATGATATGTAGGTCTACATACTGCAATATGCCTCGTATTATATGTACATCACGTGCTATATGCCTCGTATGATATGTAGGCCTACATACTGCGCTATATGCCTCGTATATTTAGGTCTACATACTGCGCTATATGCCTCGTATGATATGTAGGCCTACATACTGCGATATATGCCTCATATGACATGTAGGTCTACATACTGCGCTATATGTTTCGTATGATATGTACAGACTGTGATATATGTCTCGTATTATGTGTACATACTGCGCTTTATACCTCGTATAATATGACATCATGTGCTATATGCCTTGTATGATATGCACATCTTGTGCTGTTTGTCTGGTATGATATTACATCATGTGCTCTATGTCTCGTATGCAATGATAGCATTTGCTCTATGCAAGACTTCATTTGAAGTGTAACCTATACCTAAACTTAAAACTTATATAAACTGCCATGTAAAAAAAATTGCATCGTTGATTCTTTAGGTAGAAGTACCAGAGCATTTGTTAGTATCTTTATTGTTTGCTAGATATACTTGAACCTAATACCGAGATTATGCTATAGACATCAAATAGCTGGAGACAGTAGAGACAGTATGAAGACACCCATCATACTTGAAGACAACTGGAGACAGTCAAGACAGTATGAAGACAGCTGTAGACAGTAGAGACAGTATGAAGACACCCATCATACTTGAAGACAACTGGAGACAGTCAAGACAGTATGAAGACAGCTGTAGACAGTAAAGACAGTATGAAGACATCCATCAGACTTGAATAGATCTGGAAACAGTAAAGACAGTATGAAGACACCGATCATACTTGAAGACAGCTGGAGAAAGTAAAGACAGTATGAAGACAGCTGTAGACAGTAAAGACAGTATGAAGACACAACTGACTTGAAGACAGCTGGAGACAGTATAGACAGTATGAAGACAGCTGGAGACAGTAGAGACAGTATGAAGACAACCAACTGACTTGAAGACAGCTGGAGAAAGTATAGACAGTATAAAGACAGCTGGAGACAGTAAAGACAGTATGAAGACAGCTGAAGACAGTAAAGGCAGTATCAAGACACCCATCTGACTTAAAGACAGCTGGAGACAGTATAGACAGTATAAAGACAGCTGGAGACAGTAAAGACAATATGAAGACAGCTGGAGACAGTAAAGACAATATGA